TTATATGTGTTTACTTCACTATCGATAAAGTATCATAGATTGTGGGTGTGAGGTGTAATCTGGCTTAGAAAAAATCAATCTCACCCCATGATTATTTAATTAACGTGTTCTATTATTTTACATGATAATTTTGTATCATATTCAAACAATTAAGTCTAGTTTTCTTTAAATCTGTCTTCATCGAGCTTATCAACTGTATMGGTATTTCCAAAGCATCAACGATGACAAAGATAACTCTTGTATTTATTGTTTAATCTTTTTTTGAGAGAGAAACGCGTACTATCTATTTTCATAGAATTTTCACAATTTTATTAATACCCAATTATTATAAAAATAACAATATCTACGTTGCTTTGTATGACATTGGTACGCTAAGCTACAGAAACGCTTTAAGTGTACGTACCGGCGGCCGGTGTTTCAAGCTAGCTCCCGGATAGGTTACTAGTGATTATACCCARGTTTTTAGCAGCAAATCCTTGACATACATACAAAAAAACGTGGTCCGACCAATCGTACTATCTCTCACAGTCGAAAAACCTACTAAAAATAATGACTCAATGACCTATGTTACCGTGGGTTAATTAATAAAAATAAATAAATAAATTTATGCTTACAAATTAAAAATAGTACAACAAAAAATTATATTTTAYGCAGCTGTAAATATATAGAAAATAGTGTTAATAATAATAGCATAAAAACCTAAATAAATGATTAGTTTATTCAGTTATAATATTTCTAGGTATTTTTTTTAAATATTTTCATATATACTTATGTTTTTGTTTCCTTATTGCAATTATAATATTATTTCTCTTCTACTAATTTKAAATATATTTTCAGGACATAAGCTTGGACAATAAAATAATATAATATGTTTAATTATCGTACWGCCTTTTTATTGTATGTTTTTTCTATGACACAATAAAACTATGTTATGTCACATGAATACATGATATCAGCAGTAACTGATACCTAATGTAAAAAGTTACAGCGTCTTCGAAAGATGCTCTTAATGTCATAAATATACGCATGCATCATGACTCATTGAGAAGAGCTACGGCAAATAAGGCGTGTGTTCTCGGTAACGTGCATCACTCRCTCTAACTACGATACCTTTGAACTGTAATTTACCTCTTAGTGTGCATTAGTATAACTTCTCTTCCAGTGGGACATAAAAAAATATTAATAGGTACATTTCTTAAGGGTAACTTTACAATGCTTAAACAACAATTGAATGACCAACCAGTCATGAGGAAACTAAATATGTATTTAAAATGTAAATATTATATTATATTATTATACATATACCACAGACAAAATAAAAAACCACAACAAATTCTGATGTAAATACTTATTGCRCAGCTTATAGTACCAGGTGCGATGCATCAAAAAAATAACGTTATAAAGGTATTGTTCAATTAATTAAAGTTTAACCTTGCAATTACTCGATTAGGAATTAACATGATATTTTATTTATTCTTTGGATAGTATAATATCGTATGTAATATAAAACTGTTTTTAGTTGTTGTTGATAAATCCGTTTCATATAGGTATTATAATTACGCGTTGACATTAACCAATTAAAAGATGAAGTAAATATAGTTACTGATTATGCGAATAATATTGTTATTATCATTATTAATACAGTACGCGATAGTCTCTATAATGTCGAATGCGTATGCACGTGAAATAAACTATAATAATATCATTGGTATTAATATCCCCCTAATCTAACCTAACCCCGGAACTCAATTTACATTAAGATATAACAGCTGATGGTGGTGATCGTCATTTTGATCACACTTTCCGGAACTCCATTAAAATTTTCGAAATTGGATTACATGTCGTTTTATGATTTCGGTCCAGTCGGCCAATTGGAGTATAATAAGATTTCATCGTCAAAGTGTACATATTATTACAAGATGTCATATTATTATGTCAGAGATATGTCTGAAAATCGAAAATATATTATTTGTTTTTACGTCAAATCATCTTGTTATACGCTGGCGATATGGTTCAATTTGATAACATTTCTATGAAATTAAATTAATGTTAATAATAACTTACTATCTGAAATGAATTCAAACATTACGATGATGGTACAAGTTAGCTTAAAAGTCAACAAATCTTCAGAATAATATTTTATATCAGATTACTCTGAATTAAAATTATGCTATATATTACCGATTGTTTGTAAAATCTGTTGTATATTAGACTTTTCTAATTGGTTTAATAATATGTAATTAATGTTCCATTTAAAAAGATATTTATTTTCACTCTATTTTAATAAATAGATTTTAGGAGATAAGATGAATTATTAAATTAAGTATAGTAATATTATTTAAAAAATAACAAATTTAATTAATTTAATAATAAGCATAAAGTACTGTGATTGACACACGCCTTTTTACAGGGTTCTTACTTTGCAATTGAAACTAATACTATCATATTATACTTATCAATGTTATAATTGGATTCAACAATACCAAATAAAACACCATGGTGCGAATTGAAAAAAATGTTAATTATGTGTGTAATATTAAAGTGTTTATATTATGTATACCGTTGATGATTTGTTTGTTTTTTTTATTATGTTCAGAGTGTATTATCGATTAGTATCTCGTGACGGGTTCAGTTTCTGTAAGCATTACACACCATTTATAAGCGCATGATTAGCAAAATATATGGTTTGAYCCAGCTCTGCTTATTTAAAAACACATTCTTCTTCCGTTTTAATAGATCTTATAGATACATGGGATGATTAATATTCATTAATTCAATTAACATTAGACGGTTTTATTTTATACACAATTTAAATTTTAAATCTTATGCATCATAAATTATAATATTATTTTGTTCTTGTTTTAATAATCTAAATTTTAGACGAAAAGTGTTTTTAAA